TCCTCTCGCTAGGAGTTTCTCCCTCTCCTCCACCCCTCCCCCTCTCCTCCCCCTCCCTCTCCGTCTCCCTCTCATCCCTCTCCCTCTCTTTCTCTTTTTCCCTTTCTTCAGGTTCAGAGTAGCCCAGGCTAATCTTGAACTCTTAATTGTCTTGCTTCTGCCTCCTGAGTGCTAGGATTATAGTCAAGTGCTACCATACCCACCTTTTTTTTTTTTTGGCTGGTCATGGGCCTTGAACTCAAGGCCTGGCTCTGTCCCTGAGCCTCTCTGTGCTCAGTGCTAGTGCTGTAACACTTAGCCCAGCACCACTTCGGGCTTTTCCTGTTTATGTGGTACTGAGGAATCGAACCCAGGGCTTCATGCGTGCTAGGTAAGCACTCTACCACTGAGCCACATTCCCAGCCTTTTTTTTTTTTTAATTAAAGTAGGTGAACTAGATTAGTATGAAACTTATGAGCTCAAGTGATCTTTGTGTTCTAGACTCCCAAGTAGCTGGGACTGCAAGTATAGGCTGCCATGTTCTACTGAGAAACTTCTAATCATGTGGTTTTGTAATTTCTATCATTCTGTAATTGATTCAGGCTTTAATGACTGACTAAACTTACAGAAATTATTGAGGGTGCTTACAGAATTGGTTCTAGGGGTTGAGGGTGTGGCCCAGTTCATAGAGCACCAGCCAGTGAGCAAAAGCGTCAAGTACCGAGTTCTAGAGCTGGTATCAGACCAAAAACCAAAAAAAAAAAAAAAACAGAAAAAAGAATTGGATCTAAAATCAGGGGAACTTTCTTAGTTTTAGGGCTTGTTTTTTTATTTAAGTGGTTCTCACATCTGTAGTCTGATGTTTCTAGTATACGAGGTACTCACAAAGCCTTTCTACATTGCAGTTTGTTCATATCAACAACTTGAAGCTCATCTGCAGAGCACATCAGCTTGTACACGAAGGCTATAAATTTATGTTTGACGAGAAGCTGGTCACAGTGTGGTCTGCTCCTAACTACTGCTATCGCTGTGGGAATATTGCTTCCATCATGGTCTTCAAAGATGTCAATACAAGAGAACCAAAGTTATTCCGGGCAGTTCCAGATTCAGAACGTGTTATTCCTCCCAGAACGACGACGCCGTATTTCCTTTGAGGCCTTCGCCCCTCCTGCTGACCCATTTTTCTGCCCTCTTTTTACCCCACTTTTCTTGTATTACCCTCTACAATATACTTTTTATTGAGCACTTTGCTGCTGAAATGCTGCCTCTTGCCTTTTTTTAAATTTTAAATTATCTAAATTTATTATTTGTTATGGTGTCTATAGCAATGTTTTTCTATCAGTTTTGTCACTCATCCCATCCCCATCTTGGACTCATTTGAGAAGACTTGAGAAATGTCTTAATACTCACACTGCTGCATGTAGCTCTTGCTTATTTACTGATCTGGGGAGACAGGATGTGTTTCCTTTTTTAAAAAAGCCAATTAACAACATTGAATACTCTTCCTTTTGTATCATTCAGCCTTTCCTTTTAGTTTGGTAAGTTTCAAGAAATTTCAGCAGCAAAGTTGTTATTCAGTGGGCACGATGGACTGCAGATGCCTCAAGTTATGTATACCTGACCCAGCTGTAAACTTCATTGTCCTTTGTTGGATGATATTTTAAAAGGATATAAAATAAATTGGTCTAAAGGGCTGCCCTCTTTGTTGTGTTTTTAAATTTTAGTTGAAAACTGCTACAGCTTATGACTTTGTACATTAAGATAATTGTATTGATCTTTTTTCAGATTCTTGTATTTTTTAATAAAGTAATCTTAAAACCCAGATAAGATTAAGTGTTAGAAATTTTAAACAGCTTACATTGTTAGCATAAAGTTACCTTTTTTTTTTTTTCCTAATCAGAGATCCTGACCTTTGGTTATTGAGTCTAAAACTTCGATTAAATTCAATAGTGTTTATTAAAAAAAAAAATCACTAAACTGTGCCTAAACAACATAACTGCCATATTAATGTTTTGGTTTATATTCTCTATAGTAATAGAAAAACATTTAATACTTGTAATGCTGATATGTTCATTTGATACAGGTTGAGTGGAATGTGGTCAATCCAGTTTACAATCTATCATGAGTACCATTAAGTAAGAATATGTACTTTTCAATAGGAATCATTCTCTTGCTGTAACACTTGACCTTAATTTGTAGAAAGTGGTTTTTTTTTTAACCGCAACTGGAAAGGTTGAAAAGTCAGAACTTGTATTTGTGAATTATAATCTGATAAAGTGGAGAAAGAAACAAACTGTCCTTTCTTGTAAAGGTTTGTGCTACCTTATTTTGGCTTTGTGTGAGTAATTTGAATACTCAAAGCGTTGTGATGATCAGTTCTTGATATGCAACTGTCCACTTAATAGGACAAATATTCCTGAATCGTTTATGACTGTTGTCATAAATGATGATGGTATATGCCATTTTGTGAAATAGTTGGTCTCCTTTTACTACTATAATTAATTTTTGTCACCCCAAGAAATCCATGTGAAGCCAGCCAGTTAATAAAGCACTTTAGCATCTGTTCAGGTAGTTTTGAAAACCAACTTTTCCCTTTCAGGATAAGATCTTCCAGGTTACCTAAAAATGCAATAAAAATCTTTATAGTCTAAGCTTCTTGCATAGAATTTTTTGTCAGGATTTTTGTTTTGTTTTGTTTTTTTGTCGGTCATGGGCCTGAACTCTGGGCCTGGGCGCTGTCAGCTCTTCAGCTCAAGGCTAGTACTCTTCCATTTGAGCTACAGCGCCACTTCCGGCTTTTTCTGCTTTATATGGTGCTGAGGAATCGAACCCAGGGCCTCATGCATGCGAGGTAAGCACTCTACCACTGAGCCACCTTCCCAGCCCTGTCAGGGTTTTCTTTTAGAATGAGCACAATACTGTTTTTATTTTTCTCCTACCACCCAGCTCCTTGTACAGTTTTTAATTGTATATCTCTCTCAAAAAAAGTGGCTGAGGAGACATTTGCTGCACACACTTGAACTAATGTTGGGTCAGTAGCTTTGTTACTGCCCTGACCCATGGTCATTCCGGTGGAAAGGTAATTTTTATTTTGCAGGAATATGTAGCTATGTATTTTACTAATTGTGAAACACTGGAAATTGAACAATGCCAACAACTTGGTGTGGTCTTGGAACAGCTCTCTGCAGTATTTTTCCCCCTTCTTGTTACCATAAATTGTATTTAAGTGATTGCCCTTCACTACTTTTAATTGTACCAATAAAGCCAGTAATCCTCAGGCCTCCCTGTCCATTCACCACCCCTTCGCTTAGGCTTATGCACTGTTGCATTCTCCCTGCAGTGTGTCTTACTTGTAAGTCATGGTGTCCTACATTTGTTTATCCCTAGCTGGACATGTGCCAAGGATAGTCTGTCCATCCCTTAACTGCCATCTCTGTTTTGCCTGTGATTTCTCTTCAACTGACAATGGCTTTTTTTTTTTTTTTTTTTTGCATGGAACAAAGTAGTTTTTACTATTAGATGTGTGAAGGGAAGATAGAGTGAATGTATGGAACTTTGCAAGCTAAACATTCGGATCCCTCTAATCAATAAGGGCTATGTATTATCTAGAGTAATCGTGGTGGAAGGTACTTGCAAGTTATAGATTTGTAGGCAAAGGATCTGTTACTCCTTTATCTAGACTGAATGTAAAATCCCTTTTGTTGTATTAATGGGAATAAGAACTATTTTTATTTGCCTATAATATACTTGGTTTCTAATAAAAGTGTCCTAGGCTCTAGTGAGAACTGTCTACTTTGAATTGCCATTTACTCCGGTTCCTCATTTGACTGATAGCTTTTGGCTAAGTTGTTTTTTTTAATAGGTCATTGTGTCTCCCTGAAAACTTTCCCTTTGAATGTGTTCATTTGGGTGTGGTTCTAAAAGACCTGGATCAAGAGTCCATCTCACATGCAACCTGTCTCAGCTCTTCTCCTGTCTGGATATCTAGAAATGTTGGAAGAGTTTTAACGTCTTAAACCTTGGGTTTTGCTTTTGAAATGAGGTTTGAAATATTGTTTACCACATTAAGGTTTGTGTTTTTGGTTTTGTTTTTTTCCCCCTGTGTAAGCCCAGCACCAAGTTTTGTGAAATGCCTGTCTTGTGAAAGCAAATCAGAATTCTTTCTGAGCTTCTGCCATTGTCAGAAATAGAATTGCTTTTCATCAGCTTCCAGAAAATTGTGTATCAAGTTGAAGATATTTAACAAGAATACAGATTTTTAAATGTAATTGTTTTTTTTTTAATGTTATTGTTTGTAAAGCACCTTAACTTCTTTGGATGAAAGGTGCTCTATTCTCTTGGTGTAAATTAATAAAAAGAGAACAGGAAGTTTGTCAAACATCTTTATCTAATGCATAGTCTAGTGTCTCTGACAAGCATTTAGAATTTCATATAATTTAAATTAAAAAACTGCTTATTCCTACACTTGGTTGCTTGACTGGTAAACAAACTGAAACTTTTTTGTTACAAAGTGGATATGGTGCTCAGAACTTTGCTACCATGGGATCATGGCAACTCTCACTTGTTTTATTTACAGTGTGTATTTAATGTGGATGAACTATACATAATTAAAAAGAATTGTTTGGAAAGTCCCCTGGCACAGTGCCAAGCATTCTAGATGTGCTGGGAAAGTTAGTTCCTTGTTTGATGCTTGTTAGCTTTCTCTTTCCTTGTCCCTCATTGATAAGTATGCATATTTCTTCCCCTCTAGAAAATCAGCTTATGTTGTCTTAGGATCATTCAAATGGTTTTCTTACTCAAAAGTGAGTGGAATTTATAGAGTTTCTTTTGTGTGCATTAGCAGTATATTCCACGCAGTCTAAAAGCTACAATATAGAACACATTTGGCTCAGTGCAGTCCAGGCCCCTATTTTAGGCTAGCTTTACTATAGGTCTTTGACTGGGTTAGCCCTCTCCCACATACCACAGGAAACAATTCCAAGGTTGCACTTGAACCACCCAGATCTTAAATACCTGCAGATTACACTAGACTATATTTTAGGACTTCTATAGTTTTAGGGAAAGCAGTACTGGAGATTGAACTCAGGGCCTCCTATGTGTTAGGGAAATAATCTATGTTTTGAGCTGTGCACCATCTCCTTTTTACATTTTTGTTTTGCTTTTGGGTCCGGTCATGGGGCCTGAACTCTGGGCTTGGTCACTGTCCCTCAGCTCTTCCACTCAAGGCTAGTGCCCTACCACTTGAGCCACAGCACCACTTCTGGCTTTTTTCTTTTTGCTTATATGGTGCTGAGGAATCAAACCCAGGGCCTCATGCATGCAAGGCAAGCGCTCTACCGCTGAGCCACCTTCCCAGCCCCTACATTTGTTATTTTTGAGACAGGATCTTGCTTTATGCTCAGGCCTGCCAGGGCTGAGAACCTTCTCCTTGTGCTTCCCTGTGTCCCTGGATGACAGGCTGGTACCACTGCCCAGCCAACTGAGCTGCCTGGCCATTAGATGAGCTAAAGTCTCATGAACTTTTGTACACCATTGACCTCAAACATTGATCCACTGATCTCTGCCTCTCAAGTAGATCAGATTACAGGGTTCATCCAATGTGCCCAGCCTTAAGCCTTTTATTTTAAGCAATACTGGTTTTTGTAGCTGTCTGACCTTGAACAAATTGGAGTCTCTGGATCTTAAACTTCTGTATCTGCTCAGTTGATCTTGGATTAAAAATAGTACATATAGAATGCACAGGACCTGCCCAGAGCTGCTATTTATTGTCGTCTCACACTGATCAAATTCAGTGTGGTTGGGAAGTAAGTATGGAAGGTGAAGCAGTTGCTAACAGTGTAGCTTTTTAAATACAAGGAGTTTGGATAAGGAAGTGTTTGATGTAGGGTGGAGTAATAAGGATTTTTTTTTTTAAGTGTGGAATGTGGTTGGAATGGTGGGGTATGCATGTTTTGTAGAGTAAATAAAATGAGAGTACTTGAGGGGAAGGTTATAGCCTCAGTTCTGTTGACAAAGTGTCATGTATCAGAGGGTTGATCAATTATGGAAATCACCAGGGAGTAGGAAGAGAATTTACAGTAATCCTTTAAGAAATGTAATGAGTGATACTTAGTGTTAAGGTTTTGGTTTTGATGCCTACCCTGGGGCTTGAACTCAGGGCCTGTGTGCTGTGTTTTTGCTGAAGCCTAATGCTTTACCACTTGAGCCACAGCTCCATTTTCAGTCTTTTGCTGGTCATTTGGAGGTATGAGCCTCACAGACTTTCCTGCCTAGACTGGCTTCAAACTGAGACCCTTAGATTTCAGCCTCTTGAGTAGCCAGGATGACAGGTGTAAGCTTCAAGATTACATCCTGAGTAAGATCTTCCATATCAGGCCCTCTTGAACGTATTTGTTTCTCCTGATTGACAAAATACCCTAGAGTTATTTCTCTTTTTTGGAGTGGTAATATGAGTAGAATCAGAATTGAAGCGATCTTTAGAATTACATGAAGTATTTTGGGAGGGGGCACAACAGAAATCTGATCATAATGGCTCCCCACAACAATTTTTGAAATCCTGCAGCAGGGCTGGGGATGTGCCTCAGTGGTAAAACTCACCATGGGAGGTGGTGAGATACACTCCCAAAATAAGTAAAACCCCCCACTCCCCATTTTAACATCAAGTATGTAAAAACTATCCCAGAGTAGAAGAGCCCTTGGCACTAAATATATTTGGTTCTGTGAGAAAGTATTTTAATTTTTGCCAATTATGTGTGGGTTTTTTTTGGGTCTGGTCATGGGGCCTAAACTGTGGGCCTGGGCGCTGTTCCTCAGCTCTTCAGCTCAAGGCTAGCACTCTACCACTTGAGCCACAGCGCCACTTCCGGCTTTTTTCTTTTTGCTTATGTAGTGCTGAGGAATTGAACCCAGGGCCTCAGGCTTGCAAGGCAAGCACTCTACCACTGAGCCACCTTCCCAGCCCTAACATCTTTAAAATCTAAAAG